GGCCTCCCAGAGTGCTAGGATTACAGGCGTGAGCCACTGTGCCCGGCCCAGACTCATCTTGAATTCCTCATCTCAAGTGATTCTCCTGTCCTGGCCTCTCAAGTAGCTGGGATTACAGGTGCAAGCCACCATGCCTGGCTTGAGTCCTGTATTTTTAATAAGTATAGGAGTATCTGATAGGACATCTGAAAAACTGAAAGCCCATTCTCCAAGATCTGGAACATGACAAGGATGCCCACTTTCACCACTGTTTCAATATAGTACTAGAAGTTCCAGCTAGAGCAATCGGACAAAAGAAAGAAAGAAAGGGCATCCAAATTGGAAAGGAAGTCCTCCGCAGACGATATGATCTTACATCTAAAGAAATCTAAAGATTCCACAAAAAACTATTAGAATTGATAAATTCAGTCAAGTTTCAGGATACAAAATCAACATTCAAAAATGAGTAGCATTTTCATATGAAATGGAAAAAGAAAATCTGAAAAGGAAACCAAGAAAGTAATCCCATTTATCAACAGCTACAAATAAAACACCTAGAAATAAACTTAACCAAAGAAGTGAAAGATCTCTGTAATGAAAACTATAAAACACTGATGAAAGACATTGAAGAGGACACAAAAAAATAGAAAGATATTCCATTCTCATGGATTAGAAGAATCAATATTGTTAAAACGTCCATATCACCCAAAGCAATGTACAGATTCAATGCAATACCCATCAAAATACCAACAACACTCTTCACAGAAATAGAAAAAAAAATCCTAAAATTCATATGAAACCACAAAAGACTCAGAATAGCCAAAGCCATCCTTACTAAAAAGAACAAAACTGGAGGAATCACATTACCTGACTTCAAATTATACTACAGAGCTCTAGTAACCAAAACAGCATGGTACTGACATAAATACAGACACATAGACCAACAGAACAGAATGGAGAACCCAGAAATAAATACACACATTTGTAGCAAACTTATCTTTGACAAAGTTGCCAAGAACATACAGTGAGGAAAGGACAGTCTCTTCAATAAATGGTATTGGGAAAATTGGATAACCATATGCAGAAAAATCAAACTAGACCTTTATCTCTTACCAAAAATCAAATCAAAATGGAGTCTAAAAATATATCCTTATATTTATGGTAAATTTGTTTTTGACAAAGTTGCCAAGACAATTTGATAGGTAAAGGATAGCCTTTTCAACAAACAGTGCTCAGACAGTTGTGTATCTATAAGTAGAAAAAAAATTAACTTAGCCCCTTTCCACACAACACACACAACAATTAAGTCAAAATGGATCACAGACCTAAATGTAAGTGTTAAAGCTATTATATAAAACTTCTAGAAGAAACCAAAAGAAACATCTTCATAGCTTTGGGTTAGGCAAAGAGTTCTTATACATGACACCAAAAGCATGAGCCATAAAAGAAAGAAATTGATAAAATGGACTTCATTAAAATCAAAAACTTTTGAGCTTTAATAAACACCACTAAGAAAATGAAAACCCAGAGACTGGAGGAAAATATTTCTAAGCCATTTTTCTGATAAAGAACTTGGGTGAAAAATAACTTGATAACTCAGTAAGAAGAAAAACAATTCAATTGAAAAGATGCTTAACATTAATAGGTATTAGGGAAATGTAAATCAAAACCACAATGAGATATTACTACATACTATCTAGGATATCTACAATCAAAATGACAGGCAATAACAAGTGTTGGTAAGGGTGTGGAGAAACTAGAACGCTTATACACTGCTAGTAGAAATATAAAATGATGCAGTCACATTGGGAAACAATTTAGTAGTTTCTTAAAAGGTTAAACCTAAGCCTACCATATAAACCAGCAACTCCACTTCTACAAATCGACCAATGAGGAATGAAGACACATGACCACACAAAGCTTGTACAAGCATGTTCACAGCAGTTCACTATTCATCATAACCCAAACCTGGCAACAATCTAAATGTCATCCACTGTGAATAAACAAAACATAGCACACCCATATAAAAGAATACTATTCAGCAACGAAAAGGAATAGAATAGAGACACATGCTACAACATGTATGAATCTCAAAAACTTTATGCTAAGTGAAAGAAGCCAGACACAAAAGACTGCATGTTGTATGATCTCATTTATATGAAATGTCCAGAAAAGGCAGCAAATTTATAAATACAGCAAGCAGATCAAAAGTTGTCTGGGATTGGGATAAGAGCAGGCACTGACTGCAAAGGGCTTGAGGAGAACTTTTGGGTACTGGAAACGTTCTAAAACTGGATTGTCGTGATGGTTGCATAACCATACGTTATTAAAAATCAGGGAATTGGGCCCGGTGCGGTGGCTCACGCCCGTAATCCTAGCACTCTGGGAGGACGAGGCAGGAGGACTGCTCAAGGTCAGAAGTTCAAAACCAGCCTGAGCAAGAGTGAGACCCCATCTCTACTAAAAATAGAAAGAAATTGGCTGGACAACTATAAATATATAAAAAAAAAATTAGCCAGGCATGGTGGCACATGCCACCATGTCCCAGCTACTCGGGAGGCTAAGGCAGTAGGATTGCCTGAGCCCATGAGTTTGAGGTTGCTGTGAGCTAGGCTGACGCCACGGCACTCTAGCCTGGGCAACAGACTCTGTCTCAAAAAAAAAAAAAAAAAATCAGGGAATTGTACATTGACAATGGATGAAATTTATGGTATAGAAATTATATATCAATAAAGCTGGAAAAAAGTGTGAAGCTATTGTTACACTATAACAGATGTGTCTAGGATGTCACACGGCAAGACAGAAAAGGGTAATCACCCCTTCCTCGTGTAAGTGGAGTGGGAACTGACAGAGAGGCAGATAGCGAAGCAGACAGGATTGCACAGGTTTATTCATTCCTTCAACAAATATGTATTGTCTACTGTGTCTAGGTGCCTCAGAACAAATCAATCACAGAGCCCTGCACTTGTAAAACTTGCACGTTACAGGGGGAGGCAGGCAACAAACGATTACGAACACAACAAAGAAGTGAAATACATAGGATGCATCGAGACAATACTTGAGTTTAATACTAAAGGCTGAGCTTCCTCAGGCAAGAGAAAGGGGAAGAACAATGCAATGAAGCCTAGGATATGCCACAGCAGAGAGAGGGATTGTGGTCCCACTATGTTCAGGGAGCCCATAGCTGGGAGTATACAGAAAAATGACCTGAGATGGCAATGGAAGGTCAAAGCAGGAATCAGAAGTTACATGTACTGTCTCACTTAAATGTCCTGCATAACACAGTTATTTTAATTGGTACAAATTAAACTGAGAGTAAGTCATTTTGCCTTACCAAAATGGAGATAGTAATATAATCGTACCTAGTGAATATGGTCTTTATGGGATGAACAGTGCCCTAAAAATGCTTGCCATCATTAATATTTAGGTGTGACAGGGTCTAAATATTCAATTCTACAGTCTACCCAGAAAGCTATATGAAATCAATCAAGAAAATATTCAAAAAAGATCTGCCTCCTTGTCCCAAATGGTCCTTGCAGGAACAGTACATGGAAGTACATTTCTGTTCCTCAGGGTATCAATTCAGAACACTGCAGCTCTCTATCATTCTTCCAGAAATACCTTTATATGTCTTTCCTTAAATTGATGAACAATTTTAAAAAACTGTCTAAAGCTCTCTTCCTGAAGACACCAATTCCCACAGTGTTGACAAAGAGAAAGCCTATCAATAACAGGATATTCTTCAAAGGTTATTGTGAGGATTAAATGAGTGACTATATGTGTGTAGCAAAGGGTTAACTCGGCAGCTTATGTTGCCCAAACCCTGACATCCCAGAGGTCTTTAGGAATGACATCCTGGGATAACCTATGAGCCCCTGGAATATCCTGCTGAGAAGGGTGTTTCTGCATGTCAAAGGCCTGGGGCCATGCTGTATAAGTTTGACCAGACCGTTTATGTTAACAACATAACTTATGGTGAATGCCTGCTGTGACCTCTGCGGGGCTGGAGACCGAGTAGCTAAGGTCAGTGACACAGGCACTGTCTGCTTATGTGACCAACCCCCAATAAAAACCCTGGACGCCAAGGCTCAGGTGAGCTGCCCTGGTTGGCAACACTTTGCACGTGCTGTCACACACCTTCACTGGGAGAATTAAGTGCATCCCCAGGTAACTCCACTAGGAAGGGACATCTGGAAACTTGGGCCTAGTTTCTCCCAGACTTTGTTCTATGCACCTTTTCCCTTTGTGGATTTTAATCTGTATCCTTTCACTGTAATAAACCATAACAGTGAGGATTACAGCTTTTTTTGTTATGTGAATCCTTCTGATGAATCATTGCACCTAAGGGTGGTCTTGGGGACCCCCAGCAGAATATGAAAGTGCGCCTGCATTAATAAGCATCTATAGGCAGTATTTCCAAGCTCTGGGAAGCCATTTGAAAGTTTTAAGATATCCGAACAGTGCTATTATTTGTGCCCATCCCTGATCTCTATTTCCACAGTAGGTGTGAGGCAAGAAGATGATTAAACAAGAACAAGCTCTTTCATCACAAGCCGAGGCACACTTGGTTTGATGGCAATACTGAAGTCAATTTCCAGGAGATCCTGTTCTAGCCAGTGTACAATACCAAAATAGAACAAATGTTCAAACATTAACAGAAACAAGTTGACAACAATCAGACAGAAAACAGTATACACAATAGAGATCTCGTAATTGAAGGCATACCTTTATTTCCTTTATGCTAGGAAGTGATGCATTTAGAAATTCCTCAGTTAATCTCTTCCAACTAGCAGCTTTGCTGAGATCAGAATGAATGATGAATTTTTCATAAATTCTAAAATATAAAAAAATCGACTATTATAAAGTTCTATTAACAAAAAGATCTATAAGAAAATACATGTATTTCTAAATATATACATATATATATGAGAATAAAACTGACTTACCCTTCTATTGTCTTTTCTATTTTATGGCTGTTGACATCCAAGAAACGATGAAATCTAATAAAGACAAAATGCAATTCATGTGCCAATTTCGTCCTATAGCTAAATAAACTTATCTCACAGACCTTCACATCCCCCATACACTCGGAACTCAGCTGTACATTTCCAGAATGGAGTGCACCTCATCTTCCATGACCTCCACCACTAGGCAGGCAAATAATCGCAGTGTCTCAGAGACTGCTCAAGCATCCTTTCCTCAGGACACAGGTGCATCCTCACCCTCCCAACCTTGTCCTCTGGCTCCTTTACTTTCCCATAAAGCCCTGTGTCTAAGTCCAGCAGAGCACATTCTACATCATGTGTTCCTAATCGTTTTTATGCCACAGTGAAGCCCAGTCAAGCCTAAGGACCCTTTCTCTGAATAATGTTTTTAAACACATAAAATAAAATACAAAAGAAACCAAGTATACTGAAATACAGTTGTCAAATATTTCAAAAAGTTTATGATACAGTAAGAGTTCTTTACGAAAACATTAAATAACAAGATCTAGCAGTGGGTCAAATAACTACCATTAAAGTAACAGTAAACAATATTTAGAAATCTACAATTCTTAACATGACCTGAAAATAGTATGTGATTTCTACTGGTGCCAAAGTCATAGGAAGGCTAACACTACGGTAGTTTGTTGCCTTCATTCATAATGGAAGGAAATGCTACTTTTCAGTCAGAGGTAAGTATAATTTTTTCCTCATCCAAATTTATAAACACCTAAATTATACCTTTGGACCCTCAGGTTAAGAACCCCTATTATAGGCCGGGCGTGGTGGCTCACGCCTGTAATCCTAGCACTCTGGGAGGCCGAGGC